TATTTTAACTCTTTGTGTTGTATCTTGTGTGTTCAAGGAAGCAATTGCTTTTGCAGCTAAACATTAAACTGAATAATAATAATAATAATAATCTCACCTCTCTCTGTGCTGTGCTGTTCTTTTTATGCTCAAGGACTTGACAGTAGCACGCCATGAACTCCGCTGCCTCCTCCCATCTGTGATGCAGCATGGCTTCTCTGATTTGCTCCAAACACTTTCTGCACGACTGCAGAAAGCCAGTTTCATTGCGCGACTCTAAAATTTTTAGATGAATCAGAACAAGGGTGTAAAAAGTATGGAGTATATTTCTAAAAACACAGACAGCCTGCATGCTGGGGGTGTATTCAGCAATCAAACAGACCCCCAGGATGCAGCTGCTCATACACCATTTGTCCACCCAAACAAATAAAAAGCCTCATTTTAAAACGTGTTTTTGCATAAACAAAGAGAAACGTGCTTCTCACCTACGTACAGATGTTTAACCAAAGGAAGCTTCGCTTTTTGTCCTTTTTTAGAGCTGTTGTCTGAGGAGTCACTGTCCTCGTCCACGTCCCTGTGCACCTCCAGCTCTTTGTCCAAGTCATCCATATTCTGCATTTCTGTTGGATTTAGATTTTCATTATGCAAGAATAACAATCAGTTTTGATTCTTGCAAAATATTACGAATTAATTTACCCTTTTTTAAGGTTTATAACTCTTTTAGCTGCTGTTTGTTTTGATGAATTTAGATAGCTGTGGTTACTAAACGTTTTATCTTTTAAACCACCAAATATCAGTGACTGTCTTGAGACTCGCAACCATCACTGGATTATGTAAAATATTACTAATAACTTTCATAAACAAGGACGTAATGACAAGAAACAGTCACAACCAGCAAATCAGTTTTCAAATTATTACTGTTTTCATCTTTTGTAAAAGTTATGAAAAATTATGTGAGAAGTTTTGGTGTTTTATAATCCACAGTGGGAACTTTAGGGACCAATGAATTAGAAGAAAATATTTGTGATATAAGTACATAAAAATGAGACCGAAATTCCATGTGATGCTAACTTGCAAGCTAGTAGTTAGCTTTATTAGCATAGTTTTCAATTAATCACTTCTGGCAAATTTATCTTTTTTTAATTAAAACTATATATATATTATTTAAAAATAAATCAATATGGCTCAAAATAGAGTTAGAAGTTAAACAACTTACTTGTCACTCGGCTGTAAATATGTTTCTGAAGGTTTTTAAAAACTAGCAAACAAGGCTACCAATTCCCACGAGCTAAGGTCTAAAAAAAAAAAAAAAAACAGCTAATGGACTTTAAATTCCTGACGATATTTTAACATTTACAGGATATTGTTGTTCGTTTGTAAAGTCCATGCTGCCGGAAAGGAAGTGAAGCTGCAGCGACGCTGTTTGGACAGGTGTTACACCAAAGGAAGTACCCACGAAAGAATTGTACTTCCTGTCTCAGGAGCGCGCACACAGCAGAAAAAGTGCACCCAAACCACACGCACGCAATACATTCAAACGTGAACTACTGTCATTAACTATTCTGAGTTTTATTTGGTTGAAGTCGATGGAGTCATTTATATCTGTGTGTCCGGMTTTGTGCGCGCTCACGAGATTAACACTTTTTTTTGAAGATGACTAACCTTGGCTCAACACCGGAAGAGGCGGAACTGAGCGCTCAGGACTTTTAACCCTSTCCTAACTGGATTGATCCATACACCTTTTTTTTTTCTTAGTGACCTTTGCAGAAAAAAAATACTCCCGTGGTTTTGCTGTGGATGACATTAAAATTCACCAAACTCTATATTTTGCCTGCAAACAAAAGCAAATGTTATTGTTCTTGTTTTATTTTGTTGTGGGAGTTATGCTCTAAATGCAAATGTAAGTTACTGATTTTTGTTTATGAGAATGTCCTTTTTTTTTGTTAATGTTATATTTCTTAAATAAAAAAGACTATTTTGTTCCAAATTTACTCCCTTACTGGCAACAAACAAAATACTTCGCAAATACTACACCAAACGACAAAGCCCATAATGGAACAATGTCCTAGAACTTTAACAGTTTGTTTATCAAACAGGATAAACAAGAGTCAGAAACATTAAAATAATGTGACTTTCAGCGCTTTGTATCCCAAACGGTTCAAGAAATTTGAAAATCTGACTTACAGTTTTTGCACAGCAATTGTTTAAGTTTACTTTCCCATCTGCATCTTTTTTTAACCCAGTGAGCTACTCGCAGCAGCTTTATTTTTTATTTTTTTCAGTGTTGTATACAGTACCTGAAAGTAATACTTGAGTAAAAGTACAAGTATCGTATCATAAAATGACTTTGGTGAAAGTTAAAGTCACTCTTAGAATATCACTTGAGTAAAAGTCTTAAAGTATCTGATTTATTTTGTACTTAAGTGTCAAAAGTGAATTTCTGACATAATTAAGTAACAAAAGTAAAAGTACTGAGTAAAAATTAACAGTTACATTTTATTGGGAGGTAATAATAAATGTATTTTGGAAAATCTTCAAAAAATATTTTTTCTAAAGGCTTGCAACTTTGATGGATTGTGAGCAAAACTAAATACAGTTTCAGAATGGTATATATTATATTTCTCATCCAACCACAATTAAATTCACTCTATCCAGGAGCCACAATTTTTCAGGACAGTATTTATTTTTCAACAATAACAAGCCGAAATGAAATAGGAGAAATTACTTTCTACTTCTTATCCTTTTTAAAGGGATCCCTGATTAGTTGTAACATTATACTTTATTTGATAAAAAATATATTTTAACTGTAAAATAAAGAATAAAAATACTGCAGGATGTTTAGTTTTTATCATTTTTAAACTAAAAGTTTAAAAATATATTTTAACACAGACGGAGCCATTTTATTTCCACACAAAGCATTCTGGGTAAATGATGACGTGGATAGGTCCTCGGTGCGAGGCTGCTAGCAAGCTATATCCACCCTGAAGGTTAATCTTGGACAATATCTGACGATTGACTCTTTTAAATGAAACCAGAGAGCGTTGACAGAGAGGAGAAGGTAGAAATGACTCAGCCTGGAACTGAAAATATGGATGGAGGACAACAGAGCTGCTTCATGGAAGAACAACCTCAGCTTAGCCTGTTAGCTTTAGCGTTAGCCCCGATGCTATCACCATATATATGTATTAGCTCAGCGCTACACATTCTCCTCTCGTCACTGAGGTCCTCCATCCACATGACAGAGAGGAGAACACAAAAATGACTCAGCTGTAACTGAAAATATGGATGGAGGACCTCAGTTTAGCTTGTTTGTCACACTAGCACCAAGCTAATACATATAAGACAATATAGCATCGGCGCTAGCGCGAAGGCTAACAGGCTAAGCTGAGGTTCTTCTTCCATGAAGCAGCTCTGTCCACATCATCATTTACCCAGAATGCTTTGCGTGTAAATAAAATGGCTCCATCCGTGTTAAACTGTTTTAAAATTTTTCAAAACTAAACAGCCTACAGTATTTTTACAGTCTTTATTTAGAGTTAAAATATATGTTTATCAAATAAAGTCTAATGTTGCAACTAATCGGGGATCCCTTTAAAAATGTAAGGTACAAATAAAGTACAAATTGTGTAAAAATGTAAGGAGTAGAAGTAAAAATAAGCTGAAAAATAATTACTCAAGTACAGACACTAAAAAAATCTACTAAGTACAGTAACAAAGTATTTGTACTTCGTTACATTACAACTCTTTTTTGCACTTCTTTTTAGTTTATGCATCAAATGTTTTTGTAGATAATATATCTGAGCAGTAGCTTCATTATTTCTTCAGATATTTTTRTAGTCTGCAGTAGTACACATGCTAATAAATGTGTTTATCCTCAGTCACACTGAAGCAGCCGAACTGAAACCCATCCTTCCTTCAGAAAGCTACCCGAGCCTGCACTCCACCCAGCCGGATCTGAAGTGCTGACGTGTCGGCTCCTGCTGCTCATGCTCCCAGCGGCGGGGTCCAGAAGCCAGGCTACAGAAACTGCCAGCATGGCAGCGAAACATTTCTACCTGCAGGGCTTTTTGTTACTTTTATTTAACTTCGTGTCGAACACGGCCATGGAGMGGAGGTTCTCCGACTTTAAAAGATGCGCCGACACGGAGTGCAGCAGTAAGTTTCCCTGCTTCTCTGCTCAGGGGTGGGGGGGATCCAGGGATGTGTCTCCCCCACTTCCATCCCATCCGATTCCGATACTCGCAGCTAAACTGCGCCTTATCTCTTGACTTGTTGCCAGTCGATATTTGCGACCTTGACTGCCTTTTTTATTCCGGGGGCGTTTAATTGTGCGACACACAGTGGAAAACAAGCAAACTATAGTTTAATTATTATTATTTTCTTTCTTAAATATTTGTTTGACCGTTTTGTCAGGCTTTCTGGAAGCTCCGGCCTGCTTCGCTGCCTGGATGAAAGCAAAAGCTAATGTTAGCATCACATTAGCCACCGGCCGGCTTCGTTAGCTAACAGTAATGCTCAGCAGGGAAAATTCACACAATTTTACACCAAAATCACCCTGACTGTTAACGTAATATTGTAAACATCATACTTTATCAATTAACATTAAAGAAATTAAGCATTTGACAACAAGCTAAGGCAGATTTTACACTAGATATATCTTAATGGGTAATAAATGTTATCTCCTGTAGTGATAAGGTATTTATCAGAAAGGGAAAGCTGCTTTGCATCGTAAAGCCATAAAAATCGGACAAATCAGACATTTTATAAAGYCAAGTCACTGCAGCATGAAAAGGCCAGGAGCTGCTTTGCTTCTCAATTTCTTATGTAAACATCTGAACAGCCTCAGGATGTGACTGGCTTTTTTTTTTACTGTTGACATGTCATGCACACTGCAAAGATGCAGCCTTTTATTCTGTTTGCTGCGTCAAATCTCCTATTTAGTGAAGCAGGTGAGGAACAAATATTGCCAAATTATCTGTTTCGTAATTTCAGGCTAGACCAGTGGTTCCCAAACTTTTTATCTTCTGACCCACAAAGTATTCATGGCAAAAACTTTGGACCACAAATATTACTAGTCTGAGTACACGAACTTTGTTAATAACCCTAAAAACACAGGCTTTTTGACAATCTAAACAGGTTGTACACAAATATAAATACTCATTTATACTTATTTTTTGTTTTTGTAATAATTATAGGGAAAATATCACGTCACCAATTATTTTATTTTATTTTGTTGATTTCTGGAGATTATCCAAGGTGCTTCATGACCCACAATTGGGTCCCAAGCCCAACTTTGGGAACCAAAG